CCAGCCCGATGTCGATGTTTACTCAAGGAACAATTTTTTATCAGCATTTGCTGCCCTGGGTCTGATACTGTCCTTCAGTGAGGACAGAGCCTCCTGGCAGCACTGAGGGTTTAAAGGGCTCGTGATAAAGATGTTATCACTTGCCAAGCTCAGGAAAAGTCCTAAATATTCAGCGTGTTGTTCCGAGGTGGGTCACCGAGTGCCTGTGCCAGTGCTAACAGTGTGGGGAAGGTCCTGATAACGTATCGTGTTCATCGCTCCGCTGGGAGAGAAGAGAGGAGCGAGAGGGAAGCACTGTGCTAATCTCCCAGGAATATTTGATATCAGGAGTGTTTCAAGGCACATTTTGATATTGGGTATCTGAGGAGCACGAGGCACAGATAAAGAAGATCACCTTTGGCCACGCTGCCTGGGGACGCTGCGAGCTCCAGCCAAAAGGGCTGATTTGGCACTAACGACGCCCCAGGCGCTCGTTCCCTGGGTGGATGTGCCCAAGGGGCCCTGGCTGCTCTGTGCCCACCGTGTCCCTGCTCCGTGCTGGTGGCACCAGCTCTGCATCCTTGGAAATGTTCCTGAGAGTGCAACGAGATCCGAGGGCACCGGGAGCTGTCAGCTCGGGCAGCTCATGGGAACAACTGAGCTGCCCATCCTGTGTGCCAGGGAGCTCTGGGAGACTGGCAGAGGGGCTAAGAAATGGAGAACATGAGCCCAGAGAGGAAATGGAGAACATGAACCCAGAGAAGAAATGGAGAATATGAACCCAGAGAAGAAATGGAGAACATGAACCCAGAGAAGAAATGGAGAACATGAACCCAGAGAAGAAATGGAGAACATGAACCCAGAGAAGAAATGGAGAACATGAACCCAGAGAAATCTCCTGCCCGTGGAACTGTCCTGCTTTGCAGCCAAGCCTGCTCCCAGCTTTTGGAAAAAGGGATGTGCTGAGCACCCCGTGGGCAAACCTGCAGCTCTCTGTGGCATGTGGAGGCACGGGCAGTGCCAGGGCAAGCGGCTGCTGGGCACCAAGGAATGAAGAGACTCCTCAGTGCTATTGAAACCTCTCCTGCCAGGAGCTTGTGGTTAAAGCTTAATGCTGCCCATCAGCAGAACCGGGAATGCTGCGGCTCTGGGGTCTGGGGTGGCTGCAGGGGAGGTTTATGGGGGAGGTTTATTTTATTTACGGGATGCACTGG